TTTGCTTTCTTAATAATAACATCGAAACATTATAAGAGACGCAGTGAAGTTTAGATAAGCGAAACAAGCATATATTAACTTTTTCTAATTTTTCCAACACTTGTTTCGACGTAAGAGTTTTTGTCCAATCACTAATTGCTTCATCAATTAATTTCTGATGCTTCACTCTTTCTTTATTTGTTTCATATTCTTCTGTTGCAAGATCTTCTCTACCTGCTGTACGCATAAGTCTTTTGTATATAGAATCTCCATTACCCCCAATGATTACATATTTTTGATCTGAACATATGTATGCATTTGTTGGTACAATACCTGTAACAGTTGTACCTGATGGTTGCCTTACCTAAAACAAAAAAGCAAATCATTTAAGTCATTTAAAAGAAAAGAATTATACATATAATTTTTTTTATCATAATTCAAACCGTTTTACCTCACCAAACCGATCAAATTCTGGCAAAATTCCTTCCATCATATTAAACATACTCTCATAAATAGCTACATCTACAACCTGTCCAGTTTTTAAATTAGCATTTGAAGATAATTTATTCCTAGCTAAAAGACTCATAACTGCACCGAGTGCAGCTGTTAATCCAGCAACAGAATCACCCAAGGATATATTTGGTCGAACTGGTGCCTGATTAGGAAACCCATTGATATAACGGAATCCTGCCATAGCCTTACAAAAATAAACTAAAAATTAAGAAAAGTCGTTTTTCATCTAATTTTAACATGCTTGGTTATTCTTTTTACCTCACAAACTGACGCGTAACCAGGCTTTTTAGCGTATGGGCCTGTTTGTCCATAACCAGAAATACGTACATATACCAACGAAGGATTTGTTTTGTAAAGCTCATCTAACAAATTCTTTGTGTTATTATTATAACAAACTTTAATCATATATAGTAATTCAACGTAAGGTTAATGATACCAGGTCCAAGCCCCCATTTCTCCATAGTACCAGGACGAAAATTTTCAATCAACACATCCGACTTGTCAGCCAATTGACTAACAAGTCTTTTAATGAATCAAAAATTATTTTAATAGACCATGAAATATTGAAAACGAGAAATTATTATACATAAAAAAAATTCATACTTTCTGCCTTCAACGGTTTTTAAATCAATCTCACAGGATTTTTTATTCCTTGCCAATGAACGATACCAGGGACTAGTTCCATCGGTGTCTAAATGTCTCCATACTCTTAGCGGATCTCCCAATTTTGGTGGTTCGACCTTAATCTGGAGTTCTTTTTTATTAAACATAAATCTATTATCATCATTATCTTTTGTAAAGAACTATAACATACCACTTCTGCCCCATAATATCTTTAAGAACAATTATAAAAATTAGTTATCGATATCTGAAAAAGAAAAAGAAATTGAAAGAAATCATATCAAACCCAAGAATTTTTCCACAGAAAGGGCCTGCTACTAACTATAAGAAATAACGTTAAATTATCATCATTGAAATAATATGCTTCAAAAATATATGTTTAAATTATACCTGTCCTAACTCAAGAACGCGTATTCCTTCTAAAGGCTTTGGTTTTTTCTCACTTTCGTGTGCATTTTGCAATGTCCGTGAGGCTACATAAGAAAATTAGCTAAACTTTACCATAACTTTTGTTCTAAAAAAAAAAAATAAAAATAATAACACTTTAATTACCTATAAAACCTCTTTTGTAAACTCCTACTTTATTTTTGGAATTCTTTAAGCTTAAAAATATAGATGAATTTAATTTATTGCTTAACATTACTGAGGTAAAATTTTAAGTGCGTCCGGGATCTTATTTTTCTCAGATAACACTAATATTTTCACACGTGTGAAAATACTAAACTTGCTTTTTTTACATATAAGTAATAGATTTTCAAAATGATTTAATGCAAAGTTCAGAATAAGGAAATTGCTTTAATTGTCATTCTAAACGGAAATTGAATTATTTAATATGTATTTGGTTAGAACCAAATACCATTTATTTTCATTTATTTAGTCACTTACACGGTTAGCAATTGAGTCAAATTTTAGTTTTATGATACAAAAAAAACATAATTACGGTAAAGAATAAATATTTATGCTTCTTAACTTCTGTTTATTTGAGCTTATTTACTTTTTGAATAAATCAATGTTTATGCAGTTATTATTTACTAATTAATAAATTTAATATAAAATAATTTAATCATATGAATGATTCTCTGAAAATATAACATACTATAACACTATACAGTATTCGATATTTAGTAAAGAAAAAAGTCGCAATAAAAAATCCAGAAATAATATAATAGATCGCTGCGGCCCGAAGCGATCGAAAAAGGAGGCAAAATAAATAAATAAAATGAAATCCCGTATTTGTCATTCTTTTAGGCCATAGTTTATTGCTCTTGCCTTGAAGCGGGAAGTTTATTTCATGGTAGGTACTGTATATACATGAAAAAAATTTTTATTTTAAAAAAATTAAGGTCATTAATAAGATATTGGTTATGAAATCTTCAAAAGTAATATATGCTTGTTTCGCTTATCTAAACTTCACTGCGTCTCTTATAATGTTTCGATGTTATTATTAAGAAAGCAAA